CCAAACAGGTCGCTTGCAGATTTGCAGGCATCAGCTTCGTGCTTTCGAGTCGATAGTTGTTTCGTCTGATCGACTCATTACGCTTATTATTGTCTTTAAGTACTTTAATGAAGCGTTAAAACTGAGCAGCATGTTTCGTAATCAAGTGAGCTTTGTCTTGGATCTCGTGTATTATTGTAATGGAGCACCATCAATAATTTATGGCTGTTAAATCGGAACGGTATGACAGTGTAGGTGTATTGTACAGTTATAACTGTGCCTGAAAAGTGAGTTCTACTAGCTTTGGCGTGAATTGTTTCTCTTCTAAAAGAGTAATTAATTTTTTTTACCGGCTTTTGAATATTTGTTTTTAATGAATTGCTGCTTTTTAATAAAGCACCTTATCTCGGCGAAATCTCTCTTACGTTTATTCTCGGCGAACTTACGTTAAGGTATAAATATAGTTAACCGCGTGTTAGAATCTTGGCTTTTTTCATACAGCTAGTGTTTCATAATAAGTCTACTTGGAAAAGTGCCTGTTTAGTTTTTATTAATTCTATTAACTACCCCTTTGTGCCTAATACTTTTTGATGAAGTTTTTATGTGTCACTCCAAAGTGTGTATCGTATCGTACGGTAAGCATTGTAATTTACTTGCTAGTACGGTACTTGTAAGTTTAATTTGTGTTGTATAATATACCATTTTGTTTCTTTTTTTTCTATTTCTTGTATAAATTTGTATTGTATAATATACCATTTTGTTTCTTTTTTTCTATTTCTTGTATACCGTTGACGCCTCTGTGGTCTTGTGGTGTAAAGACTAAAATGTTCCTAACTGGACAACATCGGAGTGTAGCTAAAATGGTAAAGAATTAAGTAGCCTGGGATTTGCAAACGCTGTCCGGCATGACTGGTCATCTGACACAAAGCTTGAAATGTCTGTAATAAGCGTCTGCCCTGTCGGTTGAGTGTTTCTGGTTTTGAGTCTGTTTTGTCCAGTTCATGTCATGGCTGACGGGGCTCGAACTTTGCGCTAACAAAGAGGATTTTACTGCTTTCGCTCAGCAGCTCAAAACTGACCGCGTCAAAATAGTCAGCACTGCGCTGCTTCTTATCTAGCTCTGTCTAGTCTATCATGTCTTGTAGCCTGCAATCACATTTTGTGGTTACACAGTTTGAAAACTGGTCACTAGTTTGGTTGTTTCGGAGCTTTCGGTATACTTATGTAATTACTTATACCGTACTTACACACTGGATGATTTTCTGATTTAGTAAAAGGGTAAGTTTTTGATACTGGTACTGGAAAATAGTTTCGAGTTCTTCAGTATTATAATAATATGTAGGTTGACGAGTGTTAATATTCTACCGGTAATCATTAATGTTAAATTCGTAGAAACTGGAAAGCAGTCAGCCGTTTTTGTTGGTCGCGTAGTCTGAAAACTGCGTCTAGCTATAGTAGCATGTTGCAGTGTTTGACTAGGCTAGTGCCCCAGATCCAATATTAACATTTGGATTTTGTTTTGTTTCCGGAAAGTGTGTCCACGGAAATAGCTGCGTGGTACGTCTGGAGTTGAAAATGTGGGTTTTACATGTTATGCGCTGTTCAGAGTGTGTTAGCTGTTGGTGAGAAAACAACAACAAGTTAAGCATGCCGACCAGACAAGTAATGTCTGTATAGTTTACAGAAATGTAATCGACAGGAAATCAAAGGTTTTTTGAACTGTAGATGTGTGTCAGATTTCGCTGAGATGGATTTTACAACCTTTCGTAATCGATGTGTAGGTGTCGCAAATGCACACAAAATCTTGCAGTTAGGAAACTCTTGATAACCTTTTTAAGATCGCGGTGTCAGTACAATGTAATTGCGTTGTTAAAGTAGTTTTTCAGCTCGCGCGTCGCTAATTTGGACATGAAATCCTTGACAAATGGCTTTTCTGAAGATCTGAGCCCTCAGAAATGCCTCCTATGGTTTTCATTTTTTCCATGACCCGGTATGATTATTATGATCCTTTGGATTTAGATTGGGAATCGGGATTTTGCTGGTGCGTACCGTACCTGCTTTCGGCTATTAGTCACGATGGCCTCTACAAGCATGTTAATTTCAACCCACGTTTTGGTTTAACTTTTAAAGTATGATATACAGTGGATAGTCATACAAGGCTTGCTGGTTCATTGATACTGTTGAATAGCCGTCAGTGCAAGTTTTTATTTCATTTGCGCAGAGTCAGATAACTAATTGTTGATATACTTTTATCGTCCACTGGATGATTCACAATTTGTGTCTGCTCGTCGGCGTGAATACGGGTCGCAACATACACCGAACCTGTGTTAGTAGTGGTACTTGTGTCCATTTCTATAGAGCTAATTCACTAATCATTGTGGTACCTTGACATGGATGACGATTGGACCTTCATAACTCAAGGATTTTGTAAGAGAGTTTGACTTTGGTTATACATGCCATGTGGAGCGAAGTAGTCTGGTTTCTTTGTGCGCAGAGCCGAGCTGGCAGCGCACTCGCATGGTCAGTACTCAGTGTGTGCGAACGCACGGGGAACACCTCCCTAGTTGTCCGCAGTTGGATTTGATGCATATTCAGTCTTGTTCTACCGAGTAGCCAACCAAGGTCATTGTTACTGGTGGATTTCTATTTTTGCACATTCTCAGAGCTACCGCTCTGCGGATGTTTGTTAAAATTAGAGTCCCTGTTTCATTTATTTACTAGAAGCACCGCAATGAATATGGTATGTTACCTCTTTTTAGGTCTGACCTTACGTACTGTACTGTAGGGCGTATTTCTAATGCTGTGAATACCATGAATTTTTTGTTGGAAATCGATATCAAGCCTTCCAAATTTTGAGGTGTGCTTAAACGTCTTAGGGCCACTACAGTAGCACTGCATAATGGTAAACTGGTGATATATCGTGACGTTATGCTTCAGCATTATTATATAGTCATAGATGCAGATTATGAAGCGATGTAGATGCGGGCAAGCAACGTTTTTCAAAATTGTCGTTTTCCGAAATTACAGCAATCAGGGATCTGCGTACACTCGGACTTAGTCTTTTTTCGTGAATGCATGGGACGGGATGTTAAGTATTGTTAGTTCTGGTTACTTCAGGTAGATAGACCGATAGACGCAACCAGAGTGACTGGTCGGTTTGTAATATGTGAACCTACTGTCGAAAAGCGGTGGTGTCAAATTTGCAGCAGTGCTGAGAATGGCTCGTTATCCGTACACTTCCGCAGGATTACCTTCGTAATCGTGCAGCTTGACCTGTGCGAGGTCTTTATGAAATGAGTTGCTTGGCGTTTGCATGAACCATGGCGGCTACCAGTTAGTATTCCTCTCCGTTGTTAGTGGACTTTTTGGTCAGGGTTTTTTGAGACCAGTTTTTTGTCTTGAGGTTATGTCCATCGTAATTGAGCATCCGTAAACCTGGTATTCATGTGATTGCTCTTCTTGGTCGCGCGGTTAGATTGAGTTAATTTGTCGAACTCGTCGTTGTGCACATGAATACGTAGTATAGAAAAGTTTTCTGTTGATTTACCTTATTTAATATCATGAAAGCTGACATGAAGCGCAAACAATTAGGGCATGATCACGTCTTTCGGTACGTTGCGGCATTGGTGGTTATTTATCATCATGCATGTTAGTGCGCCCCCTCCCGGTTAGGTTTTTTATAATTATTGCTTCATGATCTTTGTTTGATCTCGAGATTTTGAATAAGAATGCGGTTGCTCAGACGATCTTCGACCACTATCTTTGCACTGGAAATGTTAGTGGTTCGCCGAGTTTCTGACTTCCTGTGCTGTACTTTTCTGCATGTATTGTGTTTTAGGTCGTTAGAGGGACCAAGACGTTTAGCTAAGATGTGTTCTGATGACGAGAATGCATGTTAGTGTAGCAATCAAAATCGTAGAGTCTCTACATATACGAGCAGCTTTGAATTCTGATGACGTTGTTTCTTTTGGCAGATATTGCAGACAGAAAGTGTTCTTCCGAACTGTGTCGCAGAGTGAGGGTTTTATTCAATCAAAATTTTATATGCCGATACGTGATTGTTGTCAGGCAGCCGTAGTATTTGACTGGGCGATCCTCGTAGATCACAAGAAATCTGGTACTGAATCAGTTAAAAATTGTACATGTATTATACATATATAGTTTTCTCTTGGAGAAAACGTTTTCAGTATCGTTTCACGTTGGGCGGTGACTTGATAACAAACTGTAGCACTCGTATGGTGGCAGTTGTGATTGCGGTTTGCATGACCTGACCGGAAGTTCGCTGAAAAATCTGTCTTTGAAACGGTAAAAGAAACAATATGACGGTACTGTCGGCCTGATGTGAACTGTAGTGCGCTCAGCCTGGTTGGTGTTGCACGGATGTTAAGAGCTTTTTATCGATTTCATAACCAGCTGAGAACCTGCATGGGCTTGCTTTGATTGTTGTACATGCATACACACGGTCTAGTCTGTACAAAACTGCAGAGAGAAAGAGACTAGCGGTCGTTTCTGTTCAGTTGTCACGAAAAGAGATTCCTACGGTCACAGAATCCATCTGCTGCATGTTATTGCTGCAGTCTGAATGATGTTGTATGCGATCGTAGCACACTGCACGAGCGAAATATCGGAGCAAGACAAGTGTTTGGCCAAGCTCGGCACTTGCTGGGCAAGATAGATCCGTTCAAGCCAGTCATAGTGCTCATATAGAGTCAGTTGAGTCGACCCATTTTTGATGATGTATGGTACTGCTGTTATACAGCATATGCGCATGTTCACTATATCGACGGAGAACGCGCTTTGGGTTACGAAACGAAAAGGCCATTTGGAATCTCTTGCTTTGTAAAGATAAGCGTGAAAGTGTATGGAAGATCATTTCTCTTATGGAGATTTTGTTATCGGGTTGGGATATCGTTGTGAACGAAATAATTGCATTACGAAATTTTTACCGGGATCGTTTGGTTCAGTCTCCGATAACGAGGAATGCAATTGTTGTCGTAAGTGTGAATTCGTGTTTTGGTTCGTAGTAAACATTAATTGGTTTGTGTGTAAACAGACGATGTGCCACCTAATAGAATGTGTAAGTGTAACAGTTTTTTACAATCATACACGCGCAAGCTTATTCATGTGGTTGGACTGAATTGGTAAAATTACTTGTTGGAGAGGAATGACCGGGACTAAAGTGTATTTCTGGCGTTTGATAACCACTGTGCGTAGTTGTGAATGGATATGCTAAGCTATTTTTGAATTTGCTGTTCAGGTAATTTCGGTTGAAGATGTGTTTTTGATGACTATTCTGGGAGCTTTTCTCTGCTAATATGTCTGGACGGCACATTCTGCAGTGTATTGGCGAATGGCTGGTGTTTTTCGATTAGTATCGTAGAAGTATGGATTTTTCTTCGTTGGTAGAAAGCCGAGTAATGGGCGTAACTGATGTATTGCTGGCTGCACATTTGGCCCACTTTTTCAATTACTGGCAAACTTTCGGTAAATTTACTTGGGTCAGAGGATGTACTCGTTTCTCATTATTGATACACTGACGAATGTTCTGCAACGATGGCGGAAGCGGCGAATGTTTCTTATATGCGGCATTCCAAAGGGATGTAGTCCGGAATATGTCTGAAATGATTTATAAATAATTACTTATACAACCGCATTTTGTGGGGTATACTCATTTTGCATGTTTGATAACGCAAACACACGCATGCATCGTAGTAGTCAGGTTAGTCGAGACGGAAAGGGCACGTCGGATAGATGACGACGTACTTCCTTTTTGATGTACGGAAAACAAACGCGGCAATGTTGGCTAGTTTCCTCTTCATGCAGGAAGAATTATTCAGTATGTGATTCCATTTTTTCATAAGTAGTGTGATTTGTGCAATCAGAATTGCCGCAATACTGGCTGTCTGAGTTTATCCAAGCATTTGCAACTACGGGCTACAAGACCGTTTGCTCTTTTCAACAGCAGATGATGCGTATCGTATTTATGCCACAAAGGGACTTGCGATATTTCATTATTGTAAGTAAATAAATATTGGATCGGTGTTTATTGCCGCAGACATTGCTAGCTACTTTGGAGATTTCGGACTGTCGTTATTATCGGGTATGTCACCACTGTCTGTGGTAATGCATGTAAAGGACATTTCAGATGTTGATTTACCTCTAAACGTTTATATGCCTGCCGTACATAAAGGTTTTCTGTTCCGTTCTGTATCGATGAAGCAGGCAGTTAAACAATATTTTGGTGTGTTTACTAGATGTAAAATTCAGACTGTATCTGTTCGTTACGTATGTCTTTTTAATTTGCCATTTTGGAGTGGCAAGAATTTCCCTCACGCGAATGTCGAGTATTCGGGACAAAAAATTACAGCTTTCGGACCGGAAAATATTGAGCACTGGGTTTGTCAATGATAGCGCTTATTTTTTGGTGAAATAATTGGTAAATTTAAAGTTTTAAAGCTAGTGAATTGAAGTGAGGAGCTGGCTGAGTCTTTGCGTAACTAGCTCGGTGTGACGTTAATCTCCAGGGCTTTTAAAGGCAGTGGAATGTAATCGGACTTTGGCAGGCAGCATGGTATTATTTTTGATTGACATAACCTATATACACCATTCTCGTAGGCAGCGAGTACGAGAGTTCGCGGAAGTGCAGGGTAAATGGTTTTGATGCTACTTTGGACAACTACGGCGAGCCGATACTGCCTGCCCTTGTTAACATGTTTAATGGGACAGTTTATTTTGCATTAAATATCAGTAATAATTAATCGTGCCAAATATAACTCACTATCTCTTACTTCGGGTTTCGATGGATCGTGATCCAAAAGTTTATTTGTTTAAAATGTGTTCGCTGGGGGAAGAACAGTGAATTGGCGCGTTGACCCACAAACTTGCCTGGAGTTTTCGCATAATTCTTATTGGAAACTGTTTGTTTTCAGATCAGCAATAATTAGCGGAGCGTTGACTGTGAATCCGCTGGTGTGTCGCTATGCCGACCGGAAGAGCGATGCCACATTTGGGTGACGCGTCAAACATATTATTACCGCCCATTACGAAGCTGGCTAGCAACATGAGTGATATCAACTTAAACGGACAGGACGATGGCTTGAACGGTGGTAGTAACTCGCCGGATGGGGAAGTGCTGGGCTTTTCGCAGGTCATGAATGGCCACAGCAATGGCACCGCGTCCCGTTCTCCGCAGGTGACCCGCTCCGTGGGCAGCTTGATGTCCAGCAGCACCGCCACCAGCGCCACTAACGAGCATTACCTGACATGTGATCACGCCTTTAAGTTGTACCACAATATCCTTACGAATTTCGAGAAGCAGGAGATCTTCAGCTATTCGCAGATTTACTGTGTCGGTTCGCGGGCCAAGAAAATTCAGGCCACGTTCAATGGGCCGATGAATGGCGGCTACGATACGGAAAACGGTTCGTACCACCACGTGATCCATGACCATATTGCCTACAGATACGAAGTGCTGAAGATTATCGGAAAAGGTAGTTTCGGACAAGTTGTCAAGGCCTACGACCACAAAACCCACACATATGTGGGACTGAAGACTGTACGCAATGAGAAGCGCTTCCATAAGCAAGCTGACGAGGAGATTAAGATACTTGAACATCTCAAGCGCTTGGACCACGACAATTCAATGAATATTATCCACATGTTGGATAACTTTGTATTTCGCAACCATAAATGCATCACTTTTGAGCTGCTATCCATGAATCTCTATGAGCTCATCAAGAAAAACCGCTTTCAGGTAAGGTAGTGCATTGAACTGGTAATTGTGACCAGCTCATTCGCAGGCGTCAACAGTGCAGTGGAGTTTGTTGTAAAGGAAACTGTCTAGTATACATGTACTGTATGTGCAGTAGTTTGATTTACCGTTTTATTACTGTAAAGTAGCATAGCTGAATGCACTGATTTCCTTGATCAACCGGAAACTGCTGCTTAAAATAATGAAACCGTCAAGGGACGATGATCCACAGATACGGATCATATATCGCTGGTTTTTAAGGAACCTTTACCCTTTTTCTAAACATACTGCGATAATAAACATACCTCAATATTAATTTGCTTGCGATGAAACGTATTGCGGTAATATTAATTTAATGGCGGCTATTTCCACTGATTTCTCGCTTTAATAAGCGCACCTTTTACAGGGTTTCAGTTTGCAATTGGTTCGCAAATTTGCTCACGGAATACTCCAGTGTTTGGATGCCCTTTACCGGCAGAAAATCATCCACTGTGATCTGAAGCCAGAGAATGTGCTATTAAAGCAGCCTGGAAGAAGTGGCATTAAAGTAATTGATTTCGGATCTAGCTGTTTCGAGCACGAGCGCATTTACTCGTATATCCAGTCGCGTTTCTATCGGGCACCGGAAGTGATTTTGGGTGGCCGGTATGGCATGGCCATTGATATGTGGTCGTTTGGATGTATTCTGGCTGAGCTCTACACCGGCTTTCCTCTCTTACCGGGCGAAGACGAGGGCGATCAGCTAGCGGCTATGATCGAATTGCTGGGGATGCCACCGGAGAGCATGCTGGAGACGTGTAAGCGTTCAAGAAGTTTTTTCTCCTCCAAGGGTATCCCCCGCTACTGCTGTGTTACAACCAATGTGGATGGTCATGCTTTGCTCAGTGGGACGCGAAATAAGCGCGGCAAATACCGGGGACCGCCCAACAGTAAGGATCTCGCAACTGGCCTCAAAGGATGTGATGATACATTATTCCTGGATTTCATTCGGCGCTGCCTCGACTGGGATCCTACGACGCGGATGACGCCGCCGGATGCTGTGCGTCATCAATGGCTGAAGCGTCGACTGCCGCGACCTCCCGGAAACGGAGAAAGCCTGGGTGCCAAGTCGCAAGTCCTGGCGCAAGTGCTGGCAGATCGGGCGAACAACTGAAGGCGTGCACGCATTTTATCTGTACACATACCATGATTCTTTCCTCTGCCATATAAATTTCTCGTGAATCTCCTGTCCAAATATATGGCTATGTTGCTCTCGCTCCGTGCACGGGGCAAGCCTGGATATTGCCTCAGGCGCTGAAATGAGGGAAGTGGAAAGAACCTGGACGTCCTGCTAATAATTTGCTCCTACTCTTCCGATACTGATGGAATTTTGACCAATTTACCCGCAGTGGAATTCACAGCATATCTGTGAGGCTGACGGGTTTTGTTCCCCTGTCTCGCATAAATTGTTTGAACTTGAGAAATTTGTTAAAAAATGGAACCGCCGAAAGGAATATCAGTTTTTTATCTGCCACAACTCATGTATTGTTACTTTTTGATTGTCCCATTCCCTCTTTCAGTTATTCCTATCTCTCCTCTTTCTTTCTCTCTTCTTACCGGTTAATCTCGGCTGGTTGGAACATGGGCGTTTGTTGTGGAGGTGCAATCAAAGCTTGGTTCACAATATTGTTTGGCGTTGAGCGACTTAACGGATAACCTGAGTTGGATTGTTTGCTGTTTTAGCGCTCTCTTTTCTTGTGTTACCTTTTGGTAAAACTAATTTTTGGTTTCTCGCTTTACTAGATCTGCGGTGTGTATCTAATAATTTTTGAACTGGCTCAGTGTTTTGTATCCAGAATGCCCGTCCAATGGCTCAGGTTTCCCCATCTGTTTCTCTTCTTTAAAGATAAAGAGTTCCTATCGGTCAAGTGAACGGTCTCTGCCACCATGAACAGCAGCTCTCACTTTTGTTTGGATTAATGGACTAAAAGCAGTCATCACTATCAGTACAATGTAAGCCGATCATGGATCCAGTTCGATAACTCGGTTACTGGTTAGGATTCAGTTTTCATTGGCTCACTACTATGAACCTGTAATGTGTACCGAATCTTTTTTCTGTGATCCATGTGTTTACGTATTGTTCGGGGCTTTCGCTTTATCCATTGGAAATTTGGATTTTGGCCCGAATGATTAACGAAAAGCTGCAGACTTTATTCCATTACGGTGGAATCTGCTGTTTGCTTTCTGAATTGCCTCTCCGTTATGCTGTACATACATATCTGTCTACAATATTTTGTATTTCATGGCAGCACAATATGGAAAATAAATTATTCCTGTATATTTCATATTCTTTAACGTCTTTAAAAATTTGAGTGTAACTCCCTTATCGCATGCTAGCATGAAGTTTGAATTCGTTAGTGTAAATTGTAAGTTGCAATATTAAGGTCACGAATCTCACAGTTACCGCGTGAAATGATAATGGGTTGATCACGCATGGAAGTCGGATGCGTGAAATGTCTTGAGTTACATGGGGGAAGATTGCAGTATTTAATCACTGACTTCCATCCGTCTTGTTAGTTACCTAGATTTGAGGTATATTGTCATCCGTGACAAAAATCGCAAAACTCTAAAAAACAACAGAATGCAGGAATTTCCAATCAGGAGTTTTTTGCAAGTTGGACAACACATCTGGAGTAAGGTAAACGCTATCTACACCTTGGAAGCATATCTTAACAAAAACTGTAAACTTTTTACTGCTGATTCTTCCAAAATATCGTACGATAATAAACCATTACGCACATGATTTATGATTTGATACGATTCATGGTGTAGTGGTAAGTACTTATCAGCACACCGCGCACAGCCGAGAGCGGACCGGTTTAGCAATATTAGCCATTAGGTACAGTAAGTACTGTACTTGTTACTTGTACCGTAGATGGGAGCCGATCACCCGTTTGCCAGACACTGCACATACAGATATAGGATAGGAGGCATAAGATATCCTGCACGGCTTTCTTATCAAAAGAGAGGTTGTTCCGAAACTCAGCACTTCACCTTTTCGTTTTATCGAACTCATTTCGGTGGCAGTTATCAAATTTCGCAATTATCTTGCAACATGTTGGCATCCAGTATCAGAGTACTTCGTCAGCAGCCACTGGCGTACACCATCGCCAAAGCTGCTGCCTCGTCGAAGAGTGGTTCTGAATGTAAAAGCGGATGGAAAGCTGTCGTGCTGGGGGCGTCCGGAGGCATCGGACAGCCACTGTCTCTTTTGATGAAAGAATCCCGTCTTATCCAGCAGCTGGCCTTGTACGATATTGCCCATACACCGGGCGTGGCGGCCGATCTGAGCCACATCAACACAGGGAGCCGCGTGACGGGCCATTTGGGTCCTGATCAGCTGCAGGAGGCCCTGACGGGCGCCCATGTCGTCATCATCCCCGCTGGCGTGCCACGCAAGCCCGGAATGACGCGGGATGATCTCTTCAATACCAACGCGTCCATCGTGCGAGATCTGGCCGATGCCTGTGGCAAATACTGTCCGGAGGCGCTGATTGGAATCATCAGTAATCCCGTGAATTCCACGGTGCCCATCGCCTCGGAAGTGCTGAAGAAACGCGGTTGCTACGATGAGCACCGTGTTTTCGGTGTGACCACACTGGATATCGTGCGCGCCAACACGTTCGTCGCGGAGAAGAAGGGATTGGATCCGCAGCAGGTCAATGTGCCCGTCATCGGTGGACACGCTGGCATCACCATTATCCCGGTGATTTCGCAGGCGTCACCGCCGGTGCAGTTCCCGGCCGAGGAGCTGGACAAGCTGACCAAGCGTATCCAGGATGCGGGGACGGAAGTGGTGAACGCCAAAGCCGGCGCTGGATCGGCCACGCTGTCCATGGCGTACGCGGGAGCACGCTTCGCCTTCTCGCTGCTGCGCGGATTGATGGGCGAGAAGAATGTCACTGAGTGCGCCTTTATTAAGTCGGATGTGACGGATGCTAAGTATTTTGCGACGCCGTTGATACTGGGTAAGAAAGGTTGGGAGAAGAACTTTGGATTGGGCAAGTTGAGTGATTACGAGAAGCAGCTGGTGGAGAAAGCGCTGCCCGAATTAAAGGCCAGCATTAAAAAGGGCGAGGACTTTGTGTCGCAGACATACAAGGGCAAATAGGGTGGTTTTGACGTACAGAGCAAATTTCTATAGTGAAATCCTAATTTATGGTTTAGTTTTCTCCTTTATTTTATTTTGCCGCTTCATGTTTTGAGACTTCTTATAATGTGCGGTTGGTGTTCGCCTTATCATTAGTTACCGTCATACCGAAGCTGCTAATTTACTCTAACATTAATTTTTTTGGAAATCTGTTTTAAGGCAGTTGTTCTGGTACTTGTGCAATGTGTAGTCCAGTTGACTAAAATTTGCAGTCCATTTATTTCTCTGTTAAGAAAACTTACAAATAATAATTATTTACAGCAACTGTCCGGACATGTGGCGACAACATGTGGTAATTAATGTAGTTTTTATAAAAACGGAATAAAAGAACAAAATCATCTAAAAAATGAGAGTGTTACACAGCATAGTCAGTAAAAATCTGAAATCATTTTCCATTGCGAAGTGGGAAAAAACAGTTTGGTCTAGCGACTCTGGTTGTCGACCTGTCGAGTGGGAATATCTCGAAAAAAAGTACTGCCGGGTAACACATTATTCTGAGTTGTGGGTGATATAACCGTGGTTGCATCACCATTGGGAAAAAGAGCACTGACGGCTGCTGAAGACATTCCGATATTACGACACAGAGTTAACATCCATTGACCCAGTGATCGATCCTCCTTCAGCTGGCTGAGAAATGTATTATCCTGAAACTTCGCAGGAAACACGTTCCGTAATGCTTCCCGTGCCCTGAATGAGATAGAACAAACAATTAACTACAGCAAAAGCTCATAAATCATCATAAGTATGCAAAATGCGATAAAACTCTTCCCCTCCAGAAACGAAATTGTACCACTCACCGCTGGTGTTCAGAAAATCGTACATAGCATCGGAGAACGTGCTTAAACAGGCGGTTAGAGTTTCTTCCGTCCAGTGGCAGATTCTCTATCATTTTACCCTAAAAAACCAATAAATATTAATATCACAAAACACGAATTCGTAAGCAGCATCATTCAAAACGTACTAGAACGTTAGCAACGTGGGTAAAACGGTCGTAAGTGGCACACATGTAGGCCAATCCTTTCTCGTCTGACAAAATTTTTTGAACAATAAACACAGCAACCTGGAAACACAAGTTGTTATTTTCAACCCAACTACGGCATCAGGCTAAATTGCGACCTACAGTTTTTGACAGATCTGTTCCACTTTCCATTATTTTGAGACAAAGCGGAATAATTTCAGAATTCTCGGCTTGCAAAAGGTAAGGCACCACTGCAATTAAAAGAAATCAGGAAACATGTATTCGATGGTGCTAAAATCCATTGCTAGATGTTTTAGTAGGCAATTCGGTTACCTTCGGGATCATCTGTCTTGACTAAAGCTCCGATAACACCAAGGGACGTCAAACGCAGATATTCGAATGGTCGAGTATTATGTGAGCTGGACAGGAAAGGATACAAAAACATCGGAATTCGCGCTGAAATGAAGAGTCAAATCACACAACGCGCTACGCGCAGAACATAAGCGTATGTGGGCAGCGCTATATTGTTACACACAGTAAAACACGAGTACGCTCGGTAACATTCGAAATACACAAACCTTCGAGGAAAGGTTTCCGTGTTTCGTTGTGCGATGCCAAGCACTGCACCAGCGCCAATGCATTACAGACTCGATTGCTTTGGTGGGCAGAAAGTGTGTTGGGTTCCATTAAAATGTATGTCTCCGTAACTTCCTGCAGCAATGCAGCCACCGCCCCGAACGAATGCCAAATCCAGAGGGCCAAATCGGGAAATTGTTCTCGCCGTTTACTAAAGAAGAAAACCACTTTGCACCAGCGGGACGCTGTCAGAAATACAACCAATGCATTGAGATTATTCTAGACCCTAAAGCCACATCCGTAGGCAATGAGAATTGTGCAACGCAAACCTCAGTTCGAGAAGAGCACGCTCACGAGTCCGCGGATCACAGACATCGACAATCCACTGCTGGATCTGTTCGGGTGAAACTGGCTGCACAGGTGACGACGTACTGGACGGCAGTGCATTTGGAATAGACTGGCTGGCCGCGGCAGCCACGGCGCCCGACAACACAGCCCCTCCGCCTGGCCCCGTTCCCTGCAGGTTAGCCAAACGCGAGGCCATGTCACTGTCTGAATCCCACGAGCGGTAGATCATTAAGGAGACAGCAGTTCACCAGAGGAGAGCAGCGGCCCCAGGAAAACTGGAGTGGACACCAGTGCAAAACCAACGAAAACACGTTAGAGGCTTCACTTCAACTACCCACGGGATTCTGGCTCCGCAAAGCGTTCAGGCTACTTTTCAATTTCGAAGGAGCAGATTGTGTAAAGGAACGTATCGGAAAGTGATCACAATCATATCACAAGAATGTGACAAGATCGTAAGGCTGCGTACAAGCGTATCATCACTTCATCTGTTCTTTATGATCAGTCAGAAAAAGGGATTTAGTGATTTTAGTCTTTTAGAATTAAAAGTGATAGAAATAAAACATCACTGTGAGCAGTCATCACTGTGACGCTAACAAGTACTGTAAGTACTGTACGGTGTACAATGCGCCAGACTGCACTGCCACTACGAACGTGTTGCACTAGCACAGTAAAAAGTAAAATACTAATAAATAAATAATAATAAAAATATTACTTATCGTTTATATTAATCTTGTTTAAAGTACAATAAAAATATCTGATTTGCATAAGTACTTTATTAATTTGAAGTTGTTACGTATACGGCTAACAATAAGTACACCAATAGTTACGCCAAGGGTATACTGACACAATATTCTATCTGTTAATATCTATTTAAAAAATTTTAAATATACAAATATTTGTAGATATATATAGAACTATATCTATAAAAATAATAGCAAAACTAAAACAATGGAGCAATAATATCTCATTTTATGTATATATTATGCGTACTGTATGTCCAATACTCTGGTCTGTCTGCAGCTTGTACTTACGAATTAATTTCCATTTGTAACTTTATTATGGTATACTATAAAGTGCATATCTACAAAGCTTCGAAATAAAATTTTAAACCGCGCTATTTACCTACCTATTGAACAGAGTTTAAAAAAGAAAGTTTTCATTTATTGTTATTGTTTGCCCAATGAGTATGGAATAAAATACATTATGTTACCTACCGGTAACATGTATTATTGTAATGCAGCTGATCCAAAAAATTTAAAGGCTACAGTACTGTACCTTTTAAGGCTTTAAATTTTTGCATCAGCAATGTACTGCTTACACGGTATATACACTGTACAGTCAAACAAATTAATTAGTATTAAAGAAAGTATTAAAAATGTCATGTAGAGCGATACTACATAAATTCATAAAGCACTGTATTTTTATAAACGAAGTATAGGTAGTTGACAACAAAAATCGTGAAAAGCATTCACTCGCGGACCGCAGCTAGAATACGGAAAACACAACTTGACAATGAGACACATAATACTAAAATAAGTGCATTAATAAAACAGAACTATCTGTTAATAGATAATAACTAAGTAGTAATAACGTAATAAGTAACAATGGCACAAAAATTATACAAGAAGAAACTTTCTGTAACTTGCTGCTAAATGTATAGTTCTAAAATAGTGCTTTATACACGGTGACCATAACTTTATAGCCGGCAACTGATAAAAATAAAATAAGATACATAGATAAAACAAAACTGATTGTACTACCGCACCTTTTGTCGAATAATGTACGAGTTGTGCTGGGGCGTGTTAAGTTTCGTAAGCCAGAAATTGATTTGCTCTTACGTAGAATAAACGATAAAATAATTTATTAAATCCCTGTACGAAGTATCCATGCGGCAGCAGCATGAATAGCAAATTCTAACAACGTTCAAGCTCAAATCTCCAAACTGAAATGCATTCATTGAAGCTGGCCTCACACACACGTGGTCTGGTGCGGTCGTCGCATTCATTGGTAGACCGTTTTTTGGGAGATTGAAAGACACTTGCGAACTGGTTTTCCAGTGTTGACCTTCATCTTCAACGTTTCAAAATTACCATTATTATCTTTGGATGGCACTAAACTGATTTTTTTCAACTAGAAAAATGTCCGTTATCATAGAAAACAGCCGGCCTAAGATTTTGGTCCTATCCAGCGGTGGTGCCGTGGATTCGGGAACAAATGCTACCATTGTTAATGGTGACGAATCACTGATGAAGTCTTTGGAGGATTCTGATGTTGTTATGGAAGAGCCTCCTGCTCAACAACCTTTGCCTATTGATATACCTGATGATTCTACTAAAAAAGAAGAATTGAGTAATGGGATTGTGAGGAGTGAGTTGCCTCAGATCATTAGCAGCGATGTGGAAATGGAAAATCTATCAGGTAAGCCTGCACGATCTTTTGAAATTGTTTTCTGATTTATCGACTGTTAGATCACTGTGGACATTTTTTTGGGTGTAAAATATTCCCTAGAATCTTTTTTCCGAATAGTTTTATGGTGTTGGTATTTTTAGACTATGGTGAAACGAATTACTATGTTAAATAATAGATTATGTTGATACTACTTATTATGATATTATCATTTACAAATGCAAAAAGCTTGCTGATACTGTTAAATCGCTATTTGTAGGCGCTTCTAGTGAAATCCCTGTTCCTTCCCGTTCTTCCCCAGAAGCGGAGCTGCAGATAAAAGAACTGCAAGCCGAATTACTGCGAGAAGAGACCAAGCTTACATTAATGAAAAGAATTTACCAGCTACAAAATCAACCGGTGAAACAGGAAAAACGGGAAGAATCAACGGGAGCAGAGCGTAAAGGTCAGCACAGTAAAGCAGCAGCGGCTGTCGTGCTGCAACAGAATGGCATCAAAGCCAACAAGAATCAACCCGATGGAGCAACAGGGAAAAGTGACAAGCAGTTTGCACGAGATGCCAGGGTAAGCGTTTGCAGTTAATATATGCAAAGAGAAATAATTGCAGCTAATTCGTTGCGAAATTTGTTAGTAAAACTGTTTCGGTATCACCCAGAATTTCTTGATTTGGGGGAGGCCGAGATAATTATGTATTTATGCTGCACTGCATAGTAGCGCTGTGCATAGGTTGAAAACTAAAAAATGGCTGGAATTCCACAGTTTTGCTCGCAGAGTATGTTTTGATTATTCTCTTTATTTGCGTAATTTAAGCGAAAATCTTAAAAACTGCGAAATGCAGAAGACACAACCTGTGCTGAAATATCAGCAGAATGCAACGACTGGCCCCGGCTACGGCGGTTATTCAGGACCTGCCGCGGCAGTTCAGAATTCGCGCGCGCAGCCAGCGCCACCAACACCCCAGCCTCCTCCGCCTGCACAAAAACCACAACAACACCCTATTGAAACACTGGAACAGCAGTTCTCTAACGACCGAATTACTTTGCGGCGTCAGATGGAAAAATCCATAATGCAGATTGTACCTCCTAAACCACCTCTTCCTGATATAAATTTCATCCCCAATACCGTTTGCCCGGATTTCGTTGCATTATTGGGGATGGAATTGGCAGCGAAGTTAGTTTATTAAAATTAGGAAGCAGTCTAGATAATTTCACTACCGTCAGCTATTCATTAAAGAAGTATTGCACAATTCATTAATGTTTACACTTTGAAATTTTTGCTGACTTTCTTCTGAAATTTTTTTCGTTTGTTTCAAATTATTTATGCGAGTGAAACACCAGTGGCACTTTTTTTACCAATATCAAGAAATATTCTGGGCGGTATGATAATAGTTATTTGAATGCTTGTTCTAGACTTTGCAGATTATTAGTGTAATACTGCAATGCGGGGTTATTTTTGTATGAACAATTATCATTAAATTCATAGTGAATGGTTTTGCCTCTTATAAATGTCTGTGGTTGTATTTTCGTTTAGCTATGCCATAAATGGCAAAAATCTTATCGATCAATCCAGTTATGTGGAACCTCACCAATGTCTTAAGTGCGGCGAAGATGTCTGTCCGTTATGGAAAGTCGATGCAGAAAATCATCCTACGGTGGTCTGTGAATCCTGCTACTATGCAGCAAGGAGTACGGTATCGCGAACGGGTCATCTTGACGCTCTTAAAAAATCGTTCGCAGATGTTCTTGATAAGGTTAGTGTAAAGCATGGCTATTGCAACCTCTGTACATTTTAATTTCTTAATGGCCGGAGACTGACACTGTGCTGGAATTCAAAATTGAATGCTTGACGTGGTTTTAGGAGCGCGATCTGGAACGCTCACACGCAGCGGCGATGGAAAAAGCCAAAGCGACAGCACCTCCGCGGACGGTAAACAAACCGGCGCCCCTGGTTCCCACCTATCCCAGCAACGCCAACGTGCGTAGTCAAGTGGCATCGACCATCGTCAATAATCATCACGGCGGCACCAACAGTAACAACTCCCACCATATTGTGCGCAGCAGTCCCAAGCAGTCGTCTTTCTACAACCAGGCCGCCGGTCTGGCTCCTCACCACAGTCAATCAGCGGGCCTACGTCCCGCATCATCCCTGCCGCCGGCCCCGCCCGCCAGGAATTCCAGTAAGCCTCCTATCTCATCGCCCTACGCCCCGATGGCCATGCCGATTCCTTTTGCCCCCACATCGACATCTAACCGACAACAGCAACATGTTTTGCGTCAGTCCGCCGATGTCCAGAGGCAGTACCTTTTAGATATGATCTCACGGGCACCAAAGCAGCAGTCGGCGCCGGCTGGAGGGGGGCGCTTGGAGGAAAACTTGACTTGGGCTACGCCAATTGGTGTTATGTTTTGGATTTGTTAGGCAGCCGCTTTTGTGGTTGAATCCGTTTTTTGCTCGAGCAGAGAATTTGTGCGTTCCGGTTGGACATGGTTTGCATAAATCGGTTTCTGCCGAGAAGTGAAAACTGGCTGGTTAAGTCATGGGAAATGTTGTTTTTAGTCATAATCAGTTTGGCTACTTTTTTGGTCGTTTTAAACAAAACTTTACAGTTATTTGGTAAGGGTTTGCGGACTTTTTTAGTTTTGCTTAATTGAACTAGCTGGCACAGAACAATAAATTATTGGACAATTTTGTCATCAAAATTGTTTGAAATGAATTCTTGCAGGATGCGGTTTGTTGAAATTGTACATCTTCATGGGATTAAACTAGCTGATTAACTTACTGTTTTGTTATTTAATTTTTTGTGGCTCGAGTAATGTTTTGGAAGCAGTATGATTGTATTACGTTACGCATTTTCGTTGAGTCTATCTTGTATTATATTTGGGTTTTATATTTCCGATTAAGTCTTTCTATGTAGAAATGATGTACAAATATAATTTTGTTTAGTATTCGTCAAACGTGTTGATCGGTCTTCCAAAACATCTGTTTTGACGCCGGACCACCGAACTACAGCGATGCAATGGATTGAGCCGGTATTAATTTAACTTATCGATGAAGTTTAATATTATCCGACACTTGCATTCGAGTATTTTATGGGTAAGCGAGAAAAGGAAAGAGGGCGGAAGAGAGATCAAGTTTGTGCACACGTAACGCTACTTTTACCGAGCCGGCAAATTCAGAGTCAGTGCATTATGCACCGCCACCGGTGCCCACTACCCAACAAACTGCGCCCTTTTCAATACCAACGTTCTGATTGAAAGTTCAAACAAGTTGGCACATGGCATAAATAATAAATAGCCCTATAGCCGGCTATAACCATGCGTCTAGACCGTCTTTTTCGACATGTGTTCTGGATAAATGTGGTCGTACATGTTTCGGAGATCACAAGCGCTACCATCATCGCTCTAATAACACGATATGTGTAACCTCTCCGATCCAGATAACGGCTGTTCACCTTTTGCACACGGCCACCGCCACGGACGTCACAAACGTTTCTTTCGCTTGAATCGACCGCTTTTCAACATACATATGTGCATATGTTGTAAAAACATCTATAAGTGTAGATTCAAAGCGAACAACAAAAAAATTCGTTGAGTGCATGTGCACCGGCTAAATTCGTGCTTATGTAGCTTGCTCATTTATGCAACTTGTTCATTGAGTCTTGAATAAGTAAAACAAACGCTGGTTTTACTTTCAACTGTTAACCAGTAGCTTTTGAAACCAATATCATTACCTATATTTTGATTACTAAATATTTCCATTCAGCTTATTTTCAGCTTACCAATTTTTCATATAGATGAGTGACAATTACCGGTAATTACGGTGCTTAAACGATGTTGATGGCTACGAGTACATGCTTGAAAATCAAAATGCCAGAACTGCGGAAATACAGTAATTCGTACGTTATACCGCTATATCTTTCTCGTACCGCTAAAAAGTATCGTATTTACTGACAAGATGAGCAAATAAAAAATCAACCAAGCTTTCAATCTGTGCAGGGTTCACAAATCACAATCCAGCTGGGCATTCTTGCAAACTCTGTTAAGCAGAATATCTATGGTAGATCTCACGAGTCAGCGATATCATTATCCACAAATAGACATCCAGAAATTTCCTGGACAAAGCGCACCGCCTAAATTCAGATGCTACTGCTCATTCTACATGAAGCCTCTCTTTTTCTTTGCCGGTGGCTTTTTAGTTGACTCGGATGGGGGTTTCGAGGTTTCTGCAGGCGTCTGTGCTGCAGCAGAAGTGCGAGATGATGCCCGGCGAGGAGCCTAAACCCACACGCAATACAATGAGATCGCGTAACACGAACCAGTTTATTTTTTTTTCAATTCCTTCTACAGATATTAGCATTACAGGGCATTTAATCAGTTTTACCGGTATCGGCTTGATGCCTTCCTCGACTTCGACAGCAATCTCTTCAGTACTATTTTTAACCGGAGCCGGTAGCTTTTTTGGGCTGGATTTCGGAGATGGGAGTTTGGTTTTTCCGGGAGACTCAGATTTCTTCCGTTTTGTATCTTCCGTGGCGGCTAAACAACGTAAAAACGTGGCAAAGCGACGAGAATCGAAAAATAAATTCAGAGATATTATAAGAGCCACTTTTTAAATGCACCTGAATTCCCTCTGGGATTTTTTAATCGCGCTGAAACGAGCGTTTCATATAATTTGACTACGCCAGCATCAGTCGCACAGTCGGCGAAACTGTCCATCTGCATAAGAAAAAAGACAAATAAAATTCAACTGACTACTTTCTGCTTTTCAAAAGTTCCGGCTTCTCACCTTCGTACTACTTATACGCGCCAGCTCGAACTGTGTGAGATCAAACGGTACAGATGTAATGGTTCCTGCAAAATAAGTAATAGTGTATCGCAAAAATTTAGTAATGCACTCTAATAAGTTTGCTGGGAATATCGTAACTGCAGTAATCAACTCGAAAAGTTCATGACGTTGGCTCGATAAAGCGCTTAACTTTATGAATACCCACGACACCACTAGTACCTAGCTCGTATCTCACAGTCAAGATGCTTTCTCGACAAAAAAAACATTTATAATCAAATCTGATTACAAGCCAACACGAATGTATTGGTCAGTTTGAAACTTTAATTACAGATATGCAAAAATAAAATTTCCAAAGGCTTTTTTCCAAGGAAATAACATAAAGCAATATCTACATTATTGTACATCAGAGACGAACTTTGTCAAGAATTATTTTTTAGTGCCACACAATCTGGTTTACACACACAATCTGGTTCGGTCTTTAAACCGAAACCGAAACATTAATCTAAAACATTAACCGAAACATTAACCGAAGCATTAATCTAAAGCAGATATCGTAAAGTACAGTATACGATTTCTGTAGCATAGCGCACAACACTGTGGAACAAAGTGCTATGACGGTATAAAAATTTAAAAGAGTAAAACATGGCTTACAGCGCATGCAGGAGCATTCTACTTTATACATACCGCGGGATGGTTTAGCGCCTTGAAACTTATAATCCTCAATTTCTTTGTCCTTATTGTGTAAAATCTCGACCAAATCTTTCGAAGCATCAACAGAGTAAGCGGCCATCATTATTAGAGGCTGAACAACGTGTGCGAAGTGCAACTGTAAAAATAATCCGCAGAGTAGCTACAAATTCACACCCAATCGCTAAACTGAAAAATGAATGCACGCGTTACGAGCACATGTCAAGAATTACCTGGACGCCAGCACTGTTTGCGAGACTGTTGGCAGAAGTGCATTTAAAATCAAAATCAAACGCTATGGATCCGCCGAGTAGCATTCGAAATCCGATGTTCGCTTTTGTGGGTTGTTGTGACGATGAACGGGACTTGTTGTGACCATCCAACATAAATCGCCAGCGTGCGCTGCTTTTCCCGGACACGGCATCTGATAGATGCCTGATCAGCAGATCTTCCTCCATTTCCAGTCCAGGATTGTATTCCTAACAATCAATTTCAATTTTTTTACCATCGCGGAGCCTCCTCTTGCAAGCCTGGGCAAATACTGATGTCTCACACGCACTTCATCAGACATGATGATACACCATGTATTTCTCACATAAATCTTCTCGGAGTAGCCAAGCGCAATTTAGTGCAATACAACGCCGCAAATTTCTCACCTCAACGCTTTCCGTGACGGCGGATAAGGATGGCTCGTGCTGGTACCACGAGTTTCCATTGCTTAAATCAACGGCGAAAAAATAAAAACCAGACTCCAACGCCTCGTCGTCTTCTTGCGTAGAAGGAAAATAGATTTTCATCCAAAAGGACTGACTTTTCAAATCGGACAAGGAGCCAGATTTCGAAAAAAAATCCCCCAAAGTCTTCGTTTTGCCAGTGAAAATGGTGCAATGTTGAACGTGAAACGGAGACGACTCGAACTGGCGCTCTTCAGTTAATCCCATTTTTGAAAAATAACTGAACTCCGTTAAGATACGACTTCTACCCTTTCTGAAATTAAGACGAAATTCAAAAGGAGAATTTCATTTCTTGCTTTGGTAGAAAGTGAGAAATCATCAAGAGACCCAGAACTTACGTTACTGACACACGTACTTGAGGTAGTCACTGGTCATAACATAAAATGCAGCAGACTGCTAGACAGTCAAAACTACCATACGAGTACCGTGCGAGCGGCACCATGAAAGACAAATATTCGTGAATGAATCATTCATAACATCGCCACCCTGAATGAACGGCGTACGCAAGAAGTCTGGAAAATGCTCAGACTGGCAACATGCCAGCTCCCAGGTCTGTAATGCAAGGTAAATCATTCGACATCCTGGGTGGTCGCAAGATTCACACCGTTTTTGGTTTTCATCAGCTGGTTACTTACTGGTTTATTCTGATGGCTAAGCAACAAGCACTCAAATTTTTTGCAGTTTTCTAGACTACGAAGTGTTATTCAACTCTTTCGAAAGAAAAGAAATTGTAGCCGGTTTAGTTTATACTCAACAGAGCTACAGGAGTACAGGTAACGGTAACACTGTACATATAGGTCAGCCATAAAGCACACTTGGAGAACAAAAAAACCCGCACGTCGTTCGATAGATAATTCCAAGAATTAATTATTACTTATGGCAAAAAAATAAAAACATGAAATCCCATTTTAAAAAGGATAACAATAAACCATCACGGACCATCGTGAAAATCAAGATTTGCAGTGACTCATCTCGGTCGAAATGTCAATATGCAACCAAGATGCATCCCACGGAAAGAATTATTAGAGAAAAAAAGCGAGACCATTTCCAAACGGATTTGTATCCAAATTCGAAAACCTCTATTATAATACAAAAATCTGGGGGATGAAATATACAGTTTCTTCGTACATAACTAGCCCGTCAAAGGAATGACCATCTTAACCGGGCATCAGATTCTGCGCATCGTCACTTTCGTCATAATCTTCACCAATGGTATTCCACGCCGACTGCCGTAATGCCATGCGCTCTTCAACCAAAAGGGCGCCAAGATCTTGCAATCCATTCTTAGTGTCAACGTGCAGCTCTACTTCCAGAACATCCGACATATCCGTAGCTCGTAGAAACGCTGTCCGCTCCACAACCAGATCGCGAAACCATTTGATCGATGTTTCACAGGATACATTATCGGGTAGAATACCGATACCACCCAGGCCGATTACGGTACTGAAATAAGGCTCTTCGAGAAACTTTTGATGTAATCGCCGTACATTCTGTGCGTTCCCGACGGACAATTCTTTCCCGAGATCTACTAGCCGCACCTATAACGGGAGAAAGCGCAAACTGACCACTCAGATCAGCATAGGATTTTCCATGGAGTTAGCTGTCCATGACATGGCTTGTCGCACTCGCCTTAGCCTTTTGAAAGTTACCGCACATAAGTCCGTAATACAGCCCCAATAGTAATTATTAATAAATCCGTGCCTCTGTACCATGAAATACAGCAGCCGCTATCATACTCGTATCAAAGATACGAAACTGTTAATGAGTTGCAACCTTGCCAGAAACAATTACCTTCAGATTATTTTGTCCCGAATGTGTAATTTCAGTTCCTAACGGCACCCCTCTAAACCAACTGTACTTTCCCCGGAAGTTGTGCCTAATGGCCAGAAATGCATCTACGACATCGGCCATAGACGGATACATGAGATACTGCGGTCCACCATTCTGATAAAACGCCGTCATGTTGGAAATCAGCGTGTCCAAACCAACAGGAAAAACTTGATCTGAAAAAATTGTGTATAGGTTGTAATACGTTGGTACCACCTCCGCCAGTCGGTATTTCAAATGTGGACAGTCTAGTTATACACAACGACAGTAACTGCCAGCCAGTATATATTTACCGGGAAATCTCAGTGGTGCCTCTCCGGGAATACTTCCCACTGGCAAACGATTCAGCACCCAAATGGACAAACGCGTCAAGGAGACCGCTTCCTGGATACGCACTACAGCACAGTCTCCGATGTCCAGTACATTCCGCGTCGACAGCTGAGTGAATCCCAAACAGACGTCCAAACCCGTCTTTTCGTCGTGGGCTCGCGCTGGATGCTTGTACCGGCATGCCGCTCCCAAGTGACATGAACGCTTCAGCAAAGTGCTCTTACACACTCCACGGTCGACTTCTGAAATTACACAACATTTCTACTGTTACAAAAAAAAACAGTACATACTAGGAATTTCGCCCGATATGATATTTTTCGTTAAATTTGACAAAACTCGCAAAAGTGCAACACCAACAACTATGCACAGCAGTGCAGGCATAATACCGTATCAGCAATCCTTAGAATTTAATCCTTTTTTACAGTTCCGAAAATGTAATCAGACTAGCAGACTTTATCACCTTACCAACCGATTTGTCGATGTTTAACTTCTGGTCCGTTGTACTCCCCTTGGCAGCATCCGTTACATTGTGTTTCCAGAAGTGGAAATCAGCTTCGTGCAGAGTGCTCAGCTCGCTTGCGCTTTTTTGCACTGAATCGGTCTTGAGCTCCTTGACATCGTGGCTGGCACTGGAAACACCAAACAGCGTCGCTTCCTCTCGACCTTTCGCCAAAATGGCAGATTTTTGACCGGTTTTTTTGGGAACATCTTCTTTCGTCGCTGACTGTTGGTTTGCCTCGAATGTGAAGTACTGCGACATCGCAGACTTTGGAGTGGATCTCTTCCATCTTTGTCCACTCATCGTTCGGTGTGGACTGTAGTGAGGATAAACTGAAATTATTCTAACGACTTCAATTCGATCTAAAGTAACTCATCACACAGTGATGCAGGTGGTCCGCTATAAGGACATTTTTAAACCGAAAAAAATTCCAGAAGATTTATTGTAGTAATCGCAACAACTTGCCGACAACCATAGTCAACAATCTTTCAAAGACAAAAGACTGAAAAGAGTTTTAAATTTTAATTTCGTCGTTCACGGCGTGACGCATGCTTTTTTAATTTTTCAGGCACAGGAAAAATATTGCGCGAGAGCGCACCAAAGTGCGCCGATGCACAGCCCTAGATGTGTCTATTGTGCAAGAAATGGCGCCATCTCTATCAAGCACAGAAAGCCCTGAAGGAGCGACGCGCATTTACGACGCGGTGCACGTGATTAACATGGTCAAATAGCACGAAAAAGTCACATGGTCATAGCTCTGGTAGTGAAATACTTATTTAAATCGAGCGGCCGGAAGCTGACAGCCCGAACTGGATTCACATTTTCGGGCCAGGCTCAACGTGATCAAATAATCAAATTTACTTTTATTGACATAGAAGATGGGATTCCACAGGCTCGCTGCTGAGCCTGCGCGTTTCTTCTGATATCTCTCACTCAAGGTGTCAATGTTCATGCGCCTATTTGAAATACTTACACCCTTCCAGTTTTCCTCTTTTATTTCTCCTGTGAGTTGAAATTGTCAGTCGCTAGTTCGGTTTTACATCCTGAACACATGCATTCCTTAAGGGACCTCGCGCTTGGAGATTTAACGATAATATTGCGTGTTGGTTACACTTTCTGTTGATGTTTTGAAGTCCAGTGAAGATATCTCACGAATGAAACTAATGGGGTTGCTGTAGTTCACATCGTCATTTACGTCTTCAGCACAACGAAATCTGTGCTACGACGGGAGTGTTTGTGGTGACGGTGAGGATGGATAAAACAGATGACTATCTGCGGGTGATAGGCTCATTCGGTAAATATCAGCGAATTGTGGTTATTCTTATCATTCTTCCTGCTATTCTTCCGTCCGCCTTCCATTCCTTCAATCAGGTATGGTTGGATTTTTTTGTAATTTTGTTGGTAAGCCTAGTACTTAAGTAGGTTTTTTTTATTTTGCGTTTCTTCAGATGTTCCTTACTGCCGTCCCCGAAGATTATTGGTGCAAAATCCATCCGGATATCGAAGCTTATAATCTGTCCCAAACACAGATTGCCCTGTTACTTCCTAAGGACAATGATTCCCGGGACAATAAGTCCCACAGTAAATGTGAAATGTGGGACATTGATTACGCTGCTGTGATAAATTTCTCGTCTTTTGTCAGCGTCCTGGAGAATTTTGACAGTATTAGTGATAAAACGAAAACCCGTTGCCGATACGGTTACCAGTACAGTTCTGAAACATATACGAATACTATCGCCACCGATTGGGATTTGGTGTGTGATAAAGGCTTTTACCCCACACTGGCCATGGTGCTGCTGTCGGTGGGAGAAGTGGTGGGAACTCCGATTTTCGGCTATCTGTCCGACCAGATCGGGCGGAAACCGTCGTATTTGATCTGCTTCTTCGTGCAGTTGGTATTTGGTGTGGCGACGGCATTTGCTCCGGATTTTATTACCTTTTGCATTTTTCGCGTGGTGGTCGGCGGAACGTACGGCGCCATTTACAGTCTTCCCTTTATTCTGGGACTGGAGATTGTCGGGCCCGATCACCGGGCGACGGTCTCGGTGTTGACGTCTGTCACGTACAGCATCGGGAATATGTTGTTGGCGGGGATTGCCTATCTGGTGCGCGACTGGAAGCATCTTGCCTTATTGACGTCCGCTCCCCTCGTGATTATTGGCATTTCTTGGTGCTTTGTGCCGGAGGTATTTAAACACAAATGACGTTATTCAGTACTATAATTGTGCTGCCCGGTTTTATTTATTAATTAATTCACACTGAGCAGCAACCATTTGCAATAACAGTGGGTATAAATTGCAATCTAGTATTTAAATGGGGTTATTATTTGATATAATATTTAGCAGAATCTGAAGCGGATCGCTTTTTTCACGTAGAGTCCGCGATGGCTGTTGGCCAAAGGCCGTGTAGACGAAGCCAAAGATTTCTTCCGTCGCGCCTCAAAGCTCAACGGTGTGGAGCTGGAACCGCATTTCCTGGACGATTTGACCGGTGCCAGTAAGAAGCCACTGAAACTCAGAACGGCTGACACCGGGAAACGGCACACGTTTATTGATCTCTTTCGAACGCCCAATTTACGCAAAAATACCCTACTGTTGACATTCGTGAACTTCGGCAATTTGGCAGTCTACACGGGTTTAAGCTATTATGCGCCGACTTTATCGCCCATTCCACATCTGAGTTTCTTCCTTTTGGGATTAGTGGAATTACCCGGTTATCTTTTTGTGCAGTTTACGGCCGACAGATACGGAAGACGATTGCCGCAGATCAGCTGCATGATTATTGGCGGGATCGCTTGTATCCTTGCCGTGGCGGTGCCGGATAGTGCCTACCACATGTACATCGCATTCTGTTTGACGGGGAAATTGCTCATAAATATTTCATACCTGATTGCTGAACTGATGGAAGGTAAGGGTACTCTTTATCTTCAAGTCATCACTTTGTTTAAAATTATCTTAATCTGGTTATAGCCTGAAAGAACTCTTACGCATGTCGCGGTGGCTCTTTGCAGTTTGCACTTTGATCAGGGTCTTTTAATGAATTTTTCTCGAATGCTTTCCTCTTTTCATTGTCTTCAGTTCGAATGGTTTTCATTGAACTTTTGATGGTGGCATGACGAGCTTGAATTTAGCTTCGTAATCGCGATCGTAGTATGGACCGGGACGTTTTTGTGTTAGTTTACGTAATATATTGATGGCTTGTCGTCGGCGGAGAGTGTATGCTATTGATTTTTACAGGCGAGCTGATCCCAACTGTGATCCGCAGCGAAGGAAGTGCATTTACTGAGATTGTGGCCTCGGCTTTGACCACGTGCGTCCCCATTATCGTTTATCTTGGCTACAATTATCTCGCGCTGCCTTTGATCATTTTCGGTGTGTTGGCTTGCGTTGCCGGGATCTGTGCCTTCTTTCTTCCGGAAACGTTCGGTAGGTTGTGGTAGAAGCCTGTTGTGCCAGCTTTATTTGCTTATGCGATGTTGAACTATGAAAATATCCTATTGAGTGTACTGTGTGTGCGTTCATAGTCATTTTCTGAACATTTGTAGCTGGTATTTGAGATTCTGCCGCATGTATGTAAACAGTAATGGGACATTTCCTATTCACTTTGCAGCAGCGCTGCAACTTCTGTCAGCCGGTGTTATTGTCGTATTATTTGTCATGTGATTATAGATGCGGATCTTCCTGAAACGATTTTGGATGGTGAGAACCTTGGGAAGAATTACACCTTTCGGCAGCGTTTCAACCTGTTTCCTCAGAAGCGTAAACGGTTACCTGAACACCATGGCGCTGTGAATTCACTTAATGCGGTGTACAATAAAGCCGGTGGGAGAAAAGGTCGTGATAGCCAAGACTTGAAGTGTCCAGTCGAAAACGAAGCGTTAACTGCCAGTTGTTGCTCAACGCATACGTAATTGGAGAGGATTTGACTTCGACTTCGGTCGATGCCTGCTCTCGGAATTTGTGATATAGGTGCCCGATCGGCAATAAGATTTGGTGTTTTTATTTAACATTCTGGTCCCCTTTTCTTGAGATCTGTTAGTTGTTCCTTTGTACATAAGTATACGAAATTTTCCTTTTGTTGTAACCATTCGATTTCTTAAAAATTTTCATGCACAAGATGATTTTCTAGTTACATGCCATCTGTCAATCAGTAATTTCAGGTTGACATTTGGTATAAACAATTGTGAAGACAGAATAGTGTTGGTTGTTGGACTGGTTGAGTTTCCTTTCTTGAACCAAGCTTCCAGTGCAGTCTTTTCGTAAGAAATTCCGTCTAAAGAAAAAGTCGAATGTTTTAAAATTAAAAAGTGGGAAATCTATAAGAGAAACGTATCGTCCTGTGCTCTCAAATAGGATGCTCTGGATGACGATCGCAAAATCCATTCTAAATCTACTGAAATTAGAAATTACCCAAAGCGATTACTGGATCCCTCATGATCTCATTCGTAACTGGGCATAGGAACTCGCTGGGAGCATTATCATCGTCCAGAAATTCCAGTTGAATTTTGTTGTCATTGACAGCTTGAGTGATCGTGACTGGCGGCTCCACGTCGGCGGCCGCTCCTGTATTTGTCGATATACGCCAAAACCCCACAATTCCACCCGAAAATCCGGCCATCATGAACTGATCGTTAGATGAGAAACAACAGCTGCGCACGTACTTCGTTAATGGTCCAACACGTTTCAGAGCGACAGCTTTCACCGGATCCCAAACAAATAGGGTTCGATCGGATGAGCTGCAAGTCCGGAAATAGAGATGATAGTGCATATATGGCACATGGTATCATTTACCACGTAACCGAGAAAGGTGACAAAACCGTACCAGCTAATGAGCAATTTTGTTTGATTAGCAAAACGGACGGAACAGATATCGCCGGAATGACCTTTCAGGTGGCAGTTCCCAGGAGAAATTGCAAGCTTCATATTTCCGTTTGGTAGTTCAATCAAATGCCATAGTTTGACTGTGTTGTCGTATCCGCCACTTGCTACATGCAGGGCAGTACCTGCAATTAACGAGGGAAAAACATTTCATTTTCAAATCATTTACAGCGTGATTACAGATATGCAGCTTTTAAAGTTTTTTAAATAATCGATTACATCTTGTTTTGCAGCAACGAGAGAAAAATCTGTAAGGGACTTGTAAGTTACACAAACGTCATAATTCTGAATGTTTGTTTTAGTGTTTCCATAAACCGATTCAGAAAATTGAAAATTTTGTTGTATCTGTACATTGCATATTTTTATGCCAAGGTGTGTATTGTAATTGAGCATTACTCGTCGGTGCCGGCACCGATTTTGCGAAACTTTTGTAGCAACTAAGGTAAATCAATGCTTGCAATGTTAAAATGGTGCTGTTAGCGGATATCAAGAATTATTTTTGAAACGGTACTGACTGTGCTTATGGTTAGTTAAATGTACATTGTAAAATACATTGTGTACCATTATTTTAATTCATGTTACTGCAAGACACCGTACGTACAGCCTGCAGTTTTAATTGTAACTTACTTCCATTCGGACTATTTAATTTGTACGGGGCAATATCCATGCATGTGCATCCCAAATCGTGCGCATCCCGTTGGATATATATCGCTTGATCTTTGTTGCGATCCCATATCCTACAAAACATTCGTGTCGTCAAATCGCTGCGTGAAATTGATGCGTGACTAAACAATAATACATTTTTTGCAACTGACCGGATGTCGCCTGCCATACCTCCAGACAAAATAAACGCGCTGTCGTGGGTAAAGCACAAACACGTCACGCTGGCTTCGTGACCTTCGTACACTCTGCTCACACCAAAAAACATACAGCACTGGTTAATAATTATTCGCTCGTTAACTCTTTAGAAAACACGCAGCTATTCAAATCTTTTTCGCACTTTTGTAGTTGTAGGCCGGCGGTTTTGTCGAACGCCCAAAGAGCCACGCAATCATTGTCGCCGCCTGCCGCTATGTAGCGCGAATCTGGAGATATCCTGCACGTGCGCGCAGCGGATATAGTATTCGACGGCAGATTCACTTGCCCGATTTTCTTCCCCGTTGTGGTATTCCACACCATTATTACACCATCCGAAGAACACTCCACCAGGAACGTCCCAAACGAACTGAAATCACTTGTGGTTATTAAACGGTTTTTTCGTAAGCGGCATGCATTTCTAATAATCTGCCCTACATGTCCGCATAAGACTTATATATGCATCCATGTTTAGCAATATGATTTCGTAAACGATTTCAGTTAACTAGCCATCCGTATTTGTATCTGGTGTTTCTGCTGCATTTTTACAAATATTCGTAAGTATTCGTTGTATAAGAAAAGTGCGCCAGAAACTTATGGACACTGTAGTACGGTTTACGCACAGATAAATATTATCCAGCTCCAGCTGTCAATGCTTTTATCATGAATGTGCGATATAATCCCAAAGGAAATCAGAGGTGCTTGCAATGCATTGTGCGAATTTACCTGAAGTGTAAGCACTGTACATGGTAAATATGATCCGCGATTGGTGAAAAAGGCACTTCATGGAGTTCGATGTTTTGTTCGTCTTTTTGGTTGATCCTCCAAATGCGAATGGTCTTATCGGCTGAACCCGAGGCCACCATATTTCCGGTCCAGACCACCGATAAAACATCGTTCCGGTGCGCCGTGAAACTGCTGATGACCTTCACGTTCAGCACGTTTTCCGTTGATCCATTCATGTGTCCATTCATTGTCTCCGGTTATGGATGGCGATGTTGCAGATAAACTAATGCAGACATTTGCTTATTTTATGAAGATTCATAATAGCGTTAGCGCAGCTCTTCTAAAATTTAAAGCGCGAGCGACTGACGCAATTCAACGGCAATCTAATTTTCGGATAATGCTGTGGTATATGCAGTGCGTATTATTCCAGCTGTTGTACTGTAATACAAACTGCGGAAGTTATAAGATGAGGAAAGTCGATTGTTAGGCAAATTCCTGTCAGGAACATAATCCGTATCAACATGAGCATGTGCCACTGGCAGCGGCCTGAATGGTGGAAGCAGGAAAAGAAGCGGAAGCTGAATGGATACTTATTGGCTAAGCAGTCAGTCAACGTTCATTTACGTCACTGATGGGAGTTTTTCCCGCAGCATCGTTTCGCATCCGAAAGAAGCTGCAGCGATTATCATGTCAGCGCTGTGGCGGCGCATGTGCTCCGGTGTGGAGATGTTAATCAGCTCCAACTGTTCCTACTCTAATATGTGGAATGCGGAGCGCGGACCAGCACATCGACCGAGCATTCCGCATCGATTGTAAGCTTACAGAGTTGTAATATAGACATACAGTTTCGGTGACGTGGAAAGTCGCAAAAACGATCAAACAACGTTGCAGCGGCGTATTTAAGCGTTTTCTACGGTAGCGCTACTTGGCTAGCTGCTTATGATTTTGTAAGGTGATGCGTTTCATGGTTAAAAAAGAGTGCAGTGACTACAGCCTTACAACCTTCCTGTCGTTCTGCAAAATGTCGATGAGTATACGTCAGCCGCGTATATTCCAGATTATCAGTACGAAAATTCGTTTTACTATTTTCTCACCACAAGTAGCGTCGAAAAGCTTCCTTATCTGCAAGATTAGAAAGTAGTTTAAAAAGGCAGCATCATCAGTTTTGCGATACTATGAAAGTCCAGTTTCCTAACCATAAGCCGAAGTACTATCGATAGAAGTACACCATCATTGCAAATTAATCAAGCTTCCAATTCTTCGATTCAGCATCACCATTATATTGTAAGCAAAAAAGTCCTGCAGATCTAGGACCCTCAATACATTTCAAAGAATGTTTCATATTAAACGTAATTCTGAAGTGTTCCCAAGCAGATCGTTTGGCACCTGACGATTTCAGTAGAGTACCTTTCCTGATACTGCTAGATGGCCCAGCGATGACCTTTTATACTTAAGCTTAGTACAATTAATGCAAAACACTCGGCCAATTTTTTGTTGCTTCTGTTTGTAAGACAAGTTCACGTAACCAAAAACCCATGCTATTTAGCCACAAAAAGCGCATGAAGGTTCTTTGATACAACTACCGCGAAAAAGTTTGGATGGCTGATACCGCGAAAAAGTTTGGATGACTGACCATGATCACTGGACACAGCTGCGTATACCGGACCATGACGTGACGCTTCTCGTTTGACTACCGCAAAAATAAATTAAATCAACACACAATTCCAGATGATTTTGATCGTTCAAACAACACAAACCCAGCACTCATAAAATTTTTATTGGATCTATTACACCGTGGTTGTTTCAAACGAAAAATGGATTATACTCTGTACACCCACCTTTCCAGTACCGACTGCTTGCTATAACGACACTTTTATTTTGTATTGTACTGATAGATGAACTGGAGTCCTCATGTAATAATTTTGCATACTTTTCAGTGTCGAGATATTTTTATCTTGTACAACCCGTGGTCAAGATTTCACGATAACTACTGCGTGACCTTTGTCCTCCAGTCTGCTGGGCCGAGCAAAAGTATGCCGACATTAGATTCATGGCGGAAACGTCTGCTAACACGAGTGCATACAAAGAGCAGTACAGTATTTCAAACAAATTCAGCTAATGCAAGTAGCAAAGCGTTCGATACCATGCATGGCAAGTACAGTAGTTCATTTCTTTAAAACATGTAACTAAATGACTGAATTTTCCACTACTTTTTTAGGTGCAACTACATAAAAATGAGTGCCTGATAACAAGATAACAAGCGGTTAATAAGTTATGCGTAACAAGCGGTTAATAAGTTCTATGCTACCAAAATATTGGACGGAAAACCTTTAAGAGCTGAATAAACCCTGCCCGAAGACAGTGAAAGGTGCAACCGAAAGCGAAATCTATATGAAATGGATTCTGAGTTTATGGCCGTTCCAATAACATCGAGAGAAAATCTCTCAGTCGTAAGTTAATTTTGGAACTGTTTAATTTCTGAACATCGAACGACAGAGAAAACGGGTTGTACATATTGGTACTGGTCACGCATTTATTCTGCATAATACAAGTAGGTGCAAATGTAGTTCGGTAACGCGTACGTGTAATGTTAATTATAGTCTATGCAAAGGTATAATAAGCGTATTTAAGACTGATAGAACCTTGAAATTTGTGTTACCTACTGTAATCGTTGTCAATAGGAGAATCCGCCGATAAAATGCCGTATGGAAATATTCATTATGAGGATCCAGGTATTAGACATAATCACTGTCTTACTTGTGTGTGGCACAATATTCCGCTAGAGCATTTGAATTAACAACGTGAATTACCTGTTATTATGAATATTCTAGTTGAGCCGCAAATTGTTAAATTATGCGCTAATAGAGTATTTTCCAGCAATCCTTTTGCCATGCCTTGGAGGCTTTTGAACCTACTGCTAAATTTTTGGTAGACCGATGGGAAAGACCGGAAGTAAGCGTTTTGAATTCTAGATATGAGGAATGACATGACAATAATTTCTACTTCGAATAAGCAGATGCTCGTCAGACATTTGCTCAGTTTCGTAAATACTGTTCGTTTGATAGGAATAAGCTAATTTCGAATTTGTCGTACAGTACAGATGTAAATAAACAGGAATGGGAGCTTTTCTTATAGGGCGGTGGAGGAATATCGTGTGTTTTGCAAGACGGATTGGTGTTTGAGAAAGCAGGAGTAAACATATCGGTGGTTCACGGCGTTTTGCCAAAGGAAGCGGTAGCGCAAATGTACAATATAAACAGCAGATTGATTTAAAAACCTGCCATAACATTCTTATCATAAATCTAAAAACATGTTTTGGTTTTATAGGCGTTCGAGGTAAAATGGATCACATCGAATGATACTTTTAACTTGATGTGTTGAGAAATGATAAATGCTCGATGACAATACAGGGGAAAGCTCCTGACATCCGATCAGCTCAGCTTCTTTGCTACAGGAATCAGTTCAGTTGTTCATCCGGTAGGAAAATAATTAAACATACGATAACAAAATAATCATTGTTTGGGTTTTTAGAAGAATCCACACGTGCCAACCATTCATTTTAATTATCGCTATTTTGAAGTAATTGACCCTAGCGGCTCAGTCCAGGCATGGTTTGGCGGCGGAACCGACTTGACGCCGTATTATCTGGATGAAGAGGTGATATTTGCAGAACAACAAAACGTGATTTCTGTTGTGCAATACTACGATTTGCGAACAATGTAGTCGTAAATAATGTCTACATAATAATTATGGCGCTGTACCTTTTTAAAAGTAATACGTAGAGCCGAAATATCTGTATAACACCAGCATTCAGGATGATTTTTGTCTATTGCAGGATTGCCGGCATTTCCATTTGCAGCTGAAACAAGCGTGCAATCCGTTCGGTGCCGATAAGTACAATAAATTCAAAGAGTGGTGTGACAATTATTTTGTCATATCGCATCGAGGTTAGTGAGCACTCTTCCATTTCGCGTAACAGCAAACGTTTTGTGAAATCATATTTGCCAAAACGTATGAAATATAAACGGTATAACTACGGTAATCTACAGATATGTTGATAGACCTTTGCTATTGTTGTTACCTGTTTTGTAATGCGGTCTTATGTCATTGTAAAAAGATCATATACTTGTTTACGTTTTGTGAAGAGCCATAAAAAGTTTCATAAGAATGCCTAATACCGAAAAGTATTTATATTAGGTGAGCGTCGCGGTGTCGGTGGCATATTCTTTGACGATCTAGAAGAGCCGACCTTGGAAAATTCCTTCAAATTTATTCAGGTGCAAATCGTGCAGTAATTATCTTTTACCATAAATAACTTTTGTATTGTACTTAATTAATTACGGGCGCAAATGCTGTGCACTTGAAGATAATATCGTTTCATTTTGCACCATTCTTAAACAATGAAAGCCTATTGAGAATGTAATTGCAGAGCTGTGCAAACGCCGTTATACCTTCTTACGTACCAATAGTCACAAAAAACAAGGATAAGCCATACGATACACCAGAGCGAAACTGGCAGTTACTGCGACGAGGACGGTACAAAAGCGCTTTAGTTCATGTTGATCGATTCGACGAGCAATAACAAAACTTATTATGTGCTTTTCGTTTACAGATATGTGGAATTTAACTGTACGATGCCGCAGGATGCTCAGTCTATTACCAAAACAAATCCATAAACTTATTGTAATTTTCGGAATAATTGCCTCGTTATAGTGTTGTATGATCGAGGCACGAAGTTTGGACTATTTACTCCTGGCGCACGATACGAAAGCATTTTAATGTCACTGCCGCTCTTAGCCGTAAGTGCAATAAATGCAATTAATATGAGATCACCTAATTTACTACCGGCTGCAAAAGTTTATGAGGCGTTTAACTATTCTGCTTTAACAGAAATGGGAATACTGCCATTCACCGTCGCCTGGATCCAGAGAAAATGATTTACTTCAAGTTCTGAAGAATCCCAGAAATTGGTTGTTGGATGAAGAATGCAAATAAGATTCATTTTTCACCCTAATTGTTTCTTAGGATAATTCTTACTGTATTGCTGGTGTGTTTCCGTATTTTTTATAGAAGCACAGTACTTAATTAGTGAATTTAACATTCCTGTTACGAATTACAGTGTGCTAGTAGTGTTCGTAAGTAAAAGCTTGAATATTAGGCTCGCAAGGAACATGCGATTTTTATGTAGAATGAAACCGACAGAAGTACCGTTAGGGAGCATTTTGTTAGTGAGGATTTTATTCACACCGAGAATTCTCTTTATAGCTCTCAACAACAACAGTAAAATATGTATACAACCAGATACATATGTGGAGGTACATATTTTACCACACACAATACGAATTATGATTTCGTACTATACGATACTATGTATTTCGATAGAGCTGAATTGCATTGCCATGTATTATGATCCAATGGAAAATGATAGTAGAGCTTTTCCATGGGCAGACAACCCTAAATAATATAATGCAATCACAACTTCAATTATGACTAGATCCTCTGATTAATCTATGACCTCCAACGTTTAGAAGGGTGTTGGAAAAACAGCTTCTCGTCGCCATAATGCGATCCAAAAACCGGACTACGCGACACCAACTGTCCGATAATTTCCGTCGCATCGCTATTTTTGGTGGGACTGACTGCCAGGGTGAACAGTACTGAATTCTCGGGAATTGTGGTTAATTGCATGCGCACATCCTGAGCACTGTTGGCGTCCCATCCCAAATCGCCGTTGGGCAGATAGGTAATTCTGTACGGCGCTCGCACAGCTTCCGATACATTCATTCCGTTTGCGTCAACGGAAGCCGCTTCGTAAAACGGCAAATTGAGGGTGGATTCCGGCCGGTCATCCGGGCCGCCGGGCAGGTTTTTCGTGGCGGCGCTTATCACAAAAAATTACTGCAAAGC